ATGGGCGGGGAGAGAAGTGCAGCAATGAATGAATGGAAATCCAAAATCTCTGTAAATGCTCATTAAAATTATTTTTTAAAAAAGAGAAAAGATAATTGAGAGGGGTAGGAGGAAAATGTGCAACAATGATTGAATGGAAATCCAAATTTTTGGTAAAATTTAATTACAATTTCAATTAAAAAAAGAAAAGAAAACCCAAGAATCAAATTGACTATACCTGTAGAAAGAAAAGGATGGGGAAGCTCAACATCATTACTCAGAACAAGGGCAAGAGCCAACTGTGGAAAAGTGGAACATACCATCAGTCACTCAGATGCAAGTTCAAGTTGAAACTAAGAAAATTAAACCATGGCAGCCAAAATACAATATACACTATCAGGATTTAGAGACCATCTCAAAAATAGATTGGCAGCATTGAGCATAAGACAAGTTGTGGATTAAGGTCGAGAAATGGTGAAGGAAGGAAGGAAGGAAGGAAGGACCATAATGAATGTCAGAGCATTCATTGAAGCTTATGTAAAATGTAGGGAAACTGAAGCAAATGGGGAAAAAAAAAACCTTAAGAGATTTAGACAGAAGACTTCAAATGACAAAGCAAAATATTAAAGTGAAATATGAAACGACTTGGAATTAAAAAAACCAAAAGGGAAGAATATGACTGGTATTTCTCAAGCTTTAAGAACTTAAGGAGAAAATTTAAGTCTTGAGTTGTAATAGGGAAAGTTTCTATGAGCAAAATATTAAATGGCACGGGAAGCATCAAAGGAAGATGGCAAGAATACAGGATCACTGTATCGTAAAGAAGTGGTTGATGTTCAGCCACTTTGGGAGGTAGCATCTTACCAAGAACCAAGAGTGCTAAAGGAAGGAGTCCAGGCTGCATTGGCAAAAAAATGGAGCTCTGGGAAGTGACTGTAAATAAATGAAGACATTTCAATAAATAAAAGTACTCACACTTCTGTGGCAAGAAATTCTGAGAAACCATCAGAAGCAGATCTGTATTTGTGCCCATTTCAAAGAAAGGCAATACAAGAGAGTGCAAAACTTATTAAGAAAAAAAATTTAAACCCAAGGAAAGGTTTACACATAAACAGAAACAATTGTGGAGAGTTAACAGGAATAGGAAGGAAGGTAGAGAGGGACAGATATTAATGGATGGCTACAAAGAGGGTGGGGAAAGGCAAGGTACAGTGAGGATTTGATGATGCATTGTAATAAATGGCATCGAACAATTGTGAGTAATGTTATGAAACAAATGTATGAATAATTGTATGAAAAGCAGTAAAAAAGAGTGCTAATGAATATAAAAACTAAAGTACATTGCAAGTAATTATAAAAAATTATTAAGCAAGAGTATTAATGCCACATGCAAGTAAAATTTTGCTGAAGATAATTTTAAAAGATTATTGCAGAAATACATCAATAGGAAACTAGTAGAAATTCAAGCTAGATTCAGAAGAGGCCATGAAATGAGAAATATCATTGCTGAAATATCTTGGCTGTAAACTGAGAATGACAAGGAGATATTTGCTTATGTTTTATTGACTGTACAAAGGCATTCAACTGTGGATCACAACAAATGATGGATAAATTTGTAAAAAATTATAATTCCCAAACAATTTTCCTCATGCAGAACCTGTACATAAACCAAGAAGCAAACACCAAAAAAGCACAAAAGGGTATACTTCATTATTTTAAATAAAAGTATGGGTATGGGAATGATTGTATGAAACACAATATGAATAAAGAATAGTGTCAAACACTGTGTATATGAACTTTGTGAGAAAAGTAATTAAAAAAAACCCATATGAGTTAAGGTTGCATCCTTTCACCATATTTATTCAATCTATATGCTGAGTAAATAATCTGAGAAACTACTGTTTGAAGAAGAACATAGCATTAAGTGTTGGAGGAAGACTCAGCAAACTGCTATATGCAGATGACACAATGTTGCTTGTTGAAAATGAAGAAGATTAAAAGCACTCACTGGTGATGATAAAAGGATATACACTTAAGTATAGTTTGTACCTTCAAGAAAACACTTAAGTATAGTTTGTACCTTAAGGAAAACAAAAGTTTTGTAACGAATTCAATGAGCAACATAAATGGAGAAAAGATTGAAATTGGTTGGAATTTCCTTTTACTTGGATCCACAATCAGTGTTTATGGAAACAGCATTATAGTTAGAATGTAATTAATAAAGAATTTATGCCTCTTTAGAGGCAATTTGTTGAGATGTTGACACAGATTATTGAATGCATCGTGCACTGTGGGATGAACAGACACATCTGTCATGGAGGACGTGTAGCCAGAATGCTCCTTAGAAAAGAGGATGGCAAACCTTCATCTCAGAGTTTGGTCATGTCATCAGAATGGGCTAGTCCCTGGAGAAAGACATCATGCTTGGTGCAGAGTACAGGGTGAGGGGAACAGAGGAAGATCCTCAGTGAGATAGGCTGGTACAGGGGTTGCTACAGCAGGTCTAAACACAGCAAAGGTTTTGCAGAGTGAAGATGATGCAGGATTGAGCCATATTTTTTTCTGTTGTGCAGGATCACTCCAAGTTGAAACTGACTCAGTAGCACCCAACAACAAGTGGGAAAAGCAACCTTGAGCATTATAATAGTTCTTTTAAGAACTATTCTGTACAAACTAATTGGCAATAGCAACACAAACCACCATTCAACAGGAACCTTAGGGGGGCAATGAGTTTGTGTTTATGAAAGAGTTCCCCAACTAAGCAAAGAGGGGTGAGACTAGCCATCCAACTTGAAGAATGTAACTATCACTAAACCGTACATGTAGGAGCTGCTGTTGTATTGGTGTATGTTTTGCTATATATAAAATTTAAAAAAAAAACACAATAAAATGTAGAACTAAAATATTGCTTCATTCTTTACATGAGGAACCGAATGCAGCAGAGGAGGTGGAAGTTGAATTAGTAAGCCATTTCATAGGGCTTGTTTGTTCCTTTCTATAAGAAATTCTCAGAATCTGGAACTACATTCGGGTCTCACACTTCTTTATATTGAATCAGCCATGTTTCATGGAAGGTCAAAATTTCTTGGAAAGTCAAAATTTCACCAGAATGTTTTTTAAAATTTTGTAATCACTGTTATTTTGTGGTGATGGGGTGAGGAGGTGTAGAAGTGTCCAGCATCCTGCCCTTGTGTGGTAACTGCCCTCATTTGGCCACATTTTTTCCTTGTAGGCATGGGTGACATGGCCGTGTCCAATTCCATTGGGAGCAACGTGTTTGACATCTTAATTGGCCTCGGGCTGCCCTGGGTTCTGCAGACACTGGCAGTGGATTATGGATCCTATGTAAGTGGTTTTCTCCATGCTTTTTCTGAAATCCAGGCTATGCACATTTGTTTTCAATGGCCTTGGCCACTGTGACTGTGCATCAGAGAAGCAAAATTATTCAGTTTGAGGGGCAAACAAATTTCTCTTATCAAAGTCTTTTCAAAGCCAAAGGTGAACATTTAAGATTCTAGCACAACCAACTGTTTCTATATAGTGTACAAGTGTTGGAGTTTGTGGACCTTCCAGCCTCTATTGTAGCCTGAGAGCAGCCACATACAGAACATAAATAAATAAATGGACAGTACTGTCTCCAGTACAGATTTATTTATAGAAACTGAAATTTTAATTTCATATTGTCTTCACATCATGGTTTATTTTAATTCTTTTCAACCAGTTGTTATTGTTTTGTGACATAAAGTCTGAACCAACTCATAGCTGACCCTTCAGTGAGTTTTCAGAATAAGTTAATCACAAAGGAGGATTTTGCCCATCTTTTTACCACAGAGCACCTAATGGATTCAAACCAGGTGCTTTTAGGATTGCAGCACAGCTTCTTACCACTTAGTTCATGGACTGTATGAAATAAGAGGCTGGCAGAATTTGGCTAACAGTACATTGTTTTCCATCCCCTACTCTAGTGTGTTTATTTTGGCTGCAAAGCATTTTTATTTATATGGCAGGAGAACAAAGAATAAGCAGCTCAACCTGCCAAGGATGATGCCATACAAACCCCCAGCAGAGACATTGGTGGTAATACTGACCATGGCCCACACTGTCTCTCAAGGCCATGGCTATATGGCTTCAAGTGGATCTTCAGGCTAATGACAGTGTTCATCTGGCAAGGGAGTAATGGTATTTCCTAACTTAATAAAATATTCCCTCTATATATATAACAGTCAAAAATTGTAATTAGAGATTTCTTCCTGCATTGAAAAAAAATGCATCTGAGTTTTTCCATTCAACCCAAAGCTGGGCACATCTTTATTACTGTACATTAATTTTGTTCAGCTGCACAGTACATTCTAAGTAATTTAATATTAGGGGGGAAATATAGTGGCTCACTTTATCTGACCCCTGTCTTTGGGGTGGCTTAGCTAATAATGTTCACTTCAGCTAAGAAAGGTAAGTTCAGCTGAAGTAAATTAATACAGAAAGGCCTTGTGATTTGGTATCTCTCCTTGGGTTAAAGAGGAGCAAAAGTATGTGGAAGTACTTTTATTTATATGGAAAGACAACAAAGAATTAGCAGCAATTAGAATATATTCTAAGGACTGGAAGATTCTCAGTTGTCTGTGAAGTCAGGTGAGGAGAGAGACTCTTTACAATGGATAGTCTGCATAAGTTTCTCCCCAGAAGTTGACTTGAGGTAAATTTCAATGATGAGGTTGAAACACCTTTAGAGAAATTTAAAGAAGTAAAACAAATTCCAGCCCAAAAGAATGGCCAGTGTGAAGGCCCTGAAGCAAGTTGTACTTGGCACATTGGAGGAACTGAAGTCCAGTGTAAGTGGAGCACAATGAGGAAGACCGAGGACAGAGCATAATTTGAGATGTTGGGGAAGAAGTCAGGGGCCCAGATGCTATGGGTTCTCATTTTGCAATCTGTGTAAAGGATAACATCAAATTTGTATAATATAACGATCTAGAAAATGATGTTTTTGATGACTTTTATGTGGCATACAGTAACATGAGTTCTAATCCTGGACTTCAAATTAAAGAATCAGAATCCTAAGTTTTCATTGGCCAATTTCCTGAAATAGACCACAAGATCTTTCTTCCTACTCTGTCTTTTTTTTTTTTTAATTTTTTTTTTTTTAGCCGAATTAACAAAGTTTATTTCGAGTTCGAACCCGGGCTCCCGCGTGCTGACACAGCAACGTCCACCCGAGAGCCTTTTTATTTTATTTTTATTATTTTGTGTGTGTGTACCATCAAATCAGATCTGACAGATACAGGAGGAGATTTTTCCTCCTTCTCCAGCAGAGTATCTGGTGGATTCGAACCGCGTACTTCTCGGATTGCAGTGAAGCTTCTTGCCACTAGGCCACCAGAGCTCGCCTTCCTACTCTGTCTTAGTCAGTAAATTCCAATGAAACTTTTTGGCTGCGGGTTACTTTGTGAGCCATTTGATTTATCTGTGGCCGAACATCCAGAATCATAGCCAAGTGTGACAAACTGACCCACAGGTGGTGTAAGGAGCACATGACTTCATATCTACCAGAGAAGCTGATCCTAGAAAAAGCCCTCATTCTGTGTCCAATCTCAAACATTTTTTACTGTTTCCTGGCTGGTATATTGAAACCCCCTCAGAATCACTCTCCCCAGAGTATGTATGCCTTGTGCTCCCCTGCTGGTGTGTCCTCTGCGTCAGAGGCATGCCTCATCCTTCATACCTCTGTTCCTGGGGTTTACAACAGCCACCTAACTGAGGATACCATTCCCACATTCCTAGCATAAATATATATCAAATAAGATATCTCCAGACAGACTTGTTTCTATCTCATTCATGGTCCATGTCCTAAATTTGTATACTTATTGCATGTTAAGTGATGAATGTAGGAAAGGTAATGAAGAAATACCCTGCTTGGCCCAAAAGTGTATCTGTATCATCTACTAAGTGGTCACATATTTCCAAGAATTGCCTTAACTTCTGAAGATCCAGGAGTGAGACTTTAGGATATTTGCAGAGGTTAGAAAACTCTTACGAATTGGCTCTAATCAACAAATTCACAAGAATTTAGGATATAGATTAGAATGTCAACAGATGACTACTAAGATGTTTAAGGTAGAAAGCATACTTATTTTAGGTTTTAGAAGATTTAGGTTCTGTATTCCTAGAATAAGATCTCATGAGATGTATATAGTAGAGTCCACAGGCAACAAAGCTATATAAACTTCTTAATCATAATCAAGTCTTTGGAAGGAATGAGCCATAGGTCGTAGGGCCTTAGAATCATCATCTCAGGGGATATCAAGGTTAACTAGTACAACATACTACAAAGACAGTGTTCTACATCCTACTTGGGTGAGTATCAACTAGGATCTTTAAAGTTTGCCATCAGCCATTTAGGATATAATATTTATCTCTCCCTCTCTGAATTGAGAAAAATATTAAAATGATAAACACATGGAAATAGTTAATACAAAGTATTAATGAGCCACTCAAACTTCAACCTCCAAGACCCTGAGACCAGAAGAACTAGATGATGCTGGCCACACTGAAATGTGTCGCATGGAAGGCCTTGAGCAGAGTGGAAGAGAATGTGCGCCAAAACTCAACATCATGAATTGGCCAAGCTTATTGATCTGACAGAGCCTGTGAAACTGACCCTTAGTAATCCCTTAAGCCTGAAACTAAGCTCACTCCTGTGGTTCACCTTTGAGCCAGACAAAGGACAGGCCTAAAAGAAAAACAGTAACACCAGGGAGATACTCACTCCTCAAAACATTTGCCCAAGGATAAAGCTCAGATATCAGAAAAGTTTCCATTGTAAGGATGAATGGAAATGAGAATCACAGGGAGGAGTGGGAGGGGTACAACTACAATGTAGGGACTGGAATCAATCATAAAAAAATACATATGTGTATATATATTTATGAATTATTGAATTGAAAACTAACTTAATCTGTACAGTATTACTCAAATCACAATTAAAAAATTAACTTTAGGCTAAATTCTCTGCAGAAGCACAACTAGTGACGTTTCCTTCTCTTCGGATCACAGATTTTTCTCCTCCTCCTGCTCCTCCTCCTCCTCCTATTCCTCCTGCTCCTCCTCCTACTCTGTCTCTCTCACAGTATCTCTATCCTACTATCTCTACATATTTACCTAAATAAAATTACTTAGATGTCTCCTGAGTAACATACCTGTGGAGATTAATGAATGCAAGTTCTACAGACAAGACAGAATATTGGTTCAAGAATCAAAGAGGTGAAAAACCATTAGCAGCATCTAGATTGAGTTAAAAACTAAGCATTTCCAGATTTCCTCATATACTTAATGCAGGTCACATCTCTGATGAAACTCACCTTCAGTCAGTTGGTTGGTTGCTAAGCAGAACCCATCAAGGGAATGAATGAATGAATGAATGAATAGCTTTCATTTAACTTTATCAAGGTCATGAATACAATATAACTGCCACACCAGATAATTATAAGCAGCCTAGTTGGCATACAACCTAACCATGACAATCTACCCCTTACAACTTGGTAGCTATATGTGTCTCCTTATCCATTAATAAAGAAATCAGCAACATCACACCAAAAAAGTACTACAAATAACAGCAATAAAATAATATCTATCAATAAAGAAGAAGCTGTGGTGGTTTAGAGGGTAAAGAATCGCACTGCCAATCCAAGACATGTAGTTTGAGACTACCAGCTGATCTGCAGGAGATCAATGAGCAGTATCCTGTGCAATTTACAGCCTCTGAAAACTTCCTGGAGGGTCAGATTTGAGTCACTTCCAACTCTTACATTGAATGGGACTAAAGTAAGTGGAATAATCAAATGAAAAGGAAAAGCAAGATTTATAAGAAAACATGACCTATTGAAATACTATCTATAAGAGATACATTTTCTACATTAAAAAATAAATAAACTGAAACTCAAAGTGTGGGGGGAAATACATTTTTAAAAGTCAGTTAAAAAAAGAGTGGAAATATTAATATCTGATAAAATAAACTTCAAGGAAAAAGCCAGCATAAGAGAAAAGAAGGACATCAGTTAATGATTAAAAGGCCAGTTGAGCAACAGTCCATTAGCTATATATCTACACACTCAATGAAAGAGTTTCAAAATACATAAGCAAACTTTAACAGAATCGAAAAAAGCAACAGAAAACTCCACAGTAACAGTTGTAGGTGGTGTGTGCCATCGAGTGAGAATTGACTCACAGCTGACACTTCAGAGCATTTTCAGAGGGAATAAATCACACAGAAGCTGCTTGCCTGTCTTTCTTCTGTAGAGCAACTGGTGGATTTGAACCACATTACTCCACAGTACAGTTGTTGTTTGCTG